GGGGAGAGTCTCCCGCCGAGAAAGGCTCATAGGCGGTCTAACAGTGATATCCCCTTTGGGTTTAATTCCATGCTTGTTCAGAATTCTCCGCCATTAACCCCTCCCAAGCCCTTGGAGAGATCGGTTTCTGGTGGAGAGGTTACGGATTGGTCCAAACCGGCTCATCTTGTGAAGAGGGAATCGAGCTGCGAGAGAGAAGGGGTCGGAGATAGAAAATCGGAAGGCGGTGATGTTGCTGACGACTTGTTCTCGGCCTATATGAATCTGGAAAACATCGATGTTTTGAACTCATCTGGTGCTGAAGATAGCAAGAATGGTAATGAGAACAGGGAGGACATGGAAAGCAGTAGAAAGATGAATGGTGGTAATAGCAGCGATACTGAAGGAGAGAGCAGTGTGAATGAGAGTGGAAATAGCTTTCAGAAGATCGGGATGAGTTCTATGGGCGTGAAGAGAAGTGCAGGCGGAGACATTGCGCCTACAGGCAGACACTACAGGAGTGTTTCAGTGGATAGTTGTTTCATGGGGAAGTTAGATTTCGGAGATGAATCACCAAAGCTGCCACCTTCTGCCGGAAATCTACCTGGGAAGGTTTCTCCGACCAATTCAATCGATGGGAACTCGAGCAACTTCGGCCTCGAGCTTGGGAATGGTGAGTTTAACGCAGCGGAGATGAAGAAGATCATGGCTAACGAGAAACTTGTTGAGATTGCTGTAAATGACCCTAAGCGTGTCAAAAGGTATCGAATTACATTGCCACAACGAAACCCTAATAAACGCATACGATGTTTGACTGTTTGTATGTGCAATTGTTTACAGAATCTTGGCGAACCGTCAATCGGCTGCACGTTCAAAGGAGAGGAAAATGAGATACATTGCCGAGCTGGAACACAAGGTTCAGACCCTTCAGACAGAAGCTACCACATTGTCAGCTCAGCTCACGCTTTTGCAGGTGGGGAGCAGACGAACGAACGGGGTTGAAATCGTTCTGATTTTTCTTTTACCGGTCATTGATTATGCATCTTTCTCGATGGATGCAGAGAGATTCAGTTGGGTTGACAAACCTGAACAACGAGCTGAAGTTTCGTCTTCAAGCAATGGAGCAGCAGGCTCAACTCCGGGACGGTAACTAACCTTGATTTTCTTCATTCTGGCATTTGCTGATCATATGTTGTTGCTTAATCGCTACTCTGATACATATTCAAAAGTGAACTGCTGCATATTTGAGACATCTGAATTGGTCTGAGAGTTCATTTTACGAAACCCTAATATCTTTTTTGCTCAAAGTTTCCTTTTTTCTGCAGACCATTTGTTGTGTGTGTGTGTGTGTGTGTATATATATGGAACTGGTAGTCGAGAGAACACATCTAGTTTCGAAAAAAAAACTTTTTTTTTGGTCAGGACAAGATTACTCTATGCGTTTTCTGATCATCCAATGGGAAAGTGACGTGATCGTGTTTTGGTTCTTTTCCTTGGTCGGGGCAGCCCTGAACGAAGCACTGACGGCGGAAGTGCAAAGGCTGAAGCTGGCGACACGTGCCAGCGAATCCGAGAGATCAGAACTGCAGTCACTTAACCCCGAAATGTTCCAGCAGCTCAATCTCAGCCATTTGGAGCCACAGACGCAGCCATCCATGACGTCATCTAAGCCCGAGTCTGGCAAATAAGATGGACCGAGGGTGGGTTTGTTTCTATAGCTCTCGGCTATATATTATATAATTTTATGGTAATGTGCAGAGTCAAGTTTAAATTTATATATAAATACATGTGGGTTGCGTCCAACAAATTCTATGATACATACATACACAGGCTTATATATGTAGTTATAGTGACGTTTAAATTTTATTTTGTTGAGTATATTCTCATGAAAGATATTAGTCTTCCACATGTGGATAGAGTTTAATTGTCCCGAAACGTTTCCCTTTCATTACATTCCTTGTAAGCCCATCATATTTATTAGTTTTTTTCAATCTTCTTCATATATATATATATATATATACGTGTGTGTGTGTGACGAGGCGTGAAGATATTAGACATCTACGTGTGGGCAAAGTTTATTCAAAAAACTAACTGCGGAAATTGGGGTGAAAGATATTCTTCGGTCCATCTCTCGACGACATGGTCCCTCTCTCTATTATATATACATATATATATATATATATGCACGTGTGTGTATATATATATATATATAATGTCCTGAATTTCTATTTTTGGGCTTACGGGAATATATCATTTTACAATGGAAGGAAGGTTTTTGCTACAAAGATGCTTTCAGAGAGAAACTAAAAAGATACAGAAAGTGTAGGGGGAAAGGGCACAAGTTACATCTCCTGCTGCGAATCCCCATAGTCACAAAGGGCTCACTGGTCAGAGCCAGTTTTCAGAGGCTGATTCTGCCCCTCAAGCAGACTTATTTGTCGCCTGAGCTTAGCAATATGAGCTTGAACCTATCAATATCCGGATTCAAACCACATGATTACATACTGGAGTGCCTAAGAAAAGTATGTAGGATATGAAATCATCACACATTGAGATCAGATACACGTTTGTTCTGATTGAGAATGAGTTGTTTTAATTACCTGCTGACGAGCAGCCGCAAGTTGTAGCAGTTCGTCTGCTTCAGAGAAGTTCATGAACCACTGTCCCAAACTATGGTCTTTGATATCACCTCTCTTCTTCTTTCCCGGGTCTTCGACTTGCACTACAACCAATCAAAAGCGACAATACCTTTTTTTTCTCAGAGTTTCTGTAATGAAACACATGGACTATTCTATGGGACGTACTAGGGGCGGGCAAGCTGTAGCCAGCAGGTAATCTTGGAAAGGTCACTGCCGGGTGATTCTGAACACGAGCTAGAAAACTTTCTGAAGGGTCAGGAAAGACGATTTCATCGTACGACTCCACGACAACAGGCTTCTTTGTTGACAAAGGACCTGATTCATCCTCTGGATATAACTTTAGATGATGGTATCTGTTGCATCCAACAACTACAAGGATGAATAATAATGTTCTTCTTGGAAAACTATAAAGAAACATCAGCAAAAGAAAAAACAGCATATTTCAAATACCCATCTTGGTGAATAGAGAAACCATCACAGGAATCATACACAAGAAACCAAGGATTCGAATGCAAGGAAAATGACTTACAAACTCAATGGCTTGTCACAGACGTCGGTGTGGAAATACAAAGTGATCGCAATCTCGAACTCTCCCCAACCAGACTCTGACAACTCAAACGGCGGTTCCTCAACAACTCTGGTGGGGTTATTGAAACTAGAATGAAGCTGGAAAACCACTTTCTTCATTACCACACCAAGATCCTCATTTGTTGCCCCACGAACATACACAGTCCACTTGTGAGATTGATATCTAAACAAAGAAAAAACAAAAGAATAGAGAAAGGCTTTCATTCGAAAACGTATCATGAAATCTGAGTTGTAAGTCTTATCATAATTTTAATGCAACTTACTCGCTGGCCTTCTTGCCTAGCCAAAATGCCACATTTCCATACACAATGGGAACGCTTATCTCGATATCTTTAAGCTTCTTCTGCGAACAAGCAAAATATGCCCGAAAAGAACGCCATTTTAGTGATTCAAACTTCAAATAACAGTTCCACCATGATTAATGCCTACATCTAAATTTCTAGCCACAGTGTCTCCTCGACTAAACAAATGTAACAAAAAAAACCCTTAAATTTCATCCTCGAACAATTAACATGAAGAGGAGCAGGGCCAAACAGATCAATTCGCCACTGGGTTATGTTCGTTCGATTGGTATGACAAAAGGGTTCGATTTGATTTAGAAGAAGACGCGATGCAGCATACCTTTTCTTCAGGTTTGGCCATCTTGGTTCTCAGCGATTTTGGGGTGGGTCCAGTGATTTCAGGCTGATCTTGACCGTGTTTTTTAGACGACGAGCTATTTGTCATTACTTGGTCTTCGAAGGATAACACTTTCTCTTCTGGGAAATCAAGGATTTGGCTCTGCGAAATTAGGGTTCTCCTTCCTTTTCGTTTTTTTTTTTTTGGGGAACAAAATATGTTATTCCTGATTCAGTACGGTCGAGTTCTCACAGGCAAATTCAATGGGAAAACATCCTGCCGTTTGTCTTTCAGGCAAGCGAACTGTGTGCCGGTGTTCTGATTTAGGATCCAAAGAACTTCTAATGCCACATCCTGCCGTTCTCTTTAGATAATAGCGAAGTGTGTGTTGTTCAGAAAGCTTGTGCGTTTTGGGCTTTGGGCATCTTCCATATAGTGTGACGTGCAATGTAGTATAGTACACATTTACATTCAAAACCATTCAAATTAGCAGATTGAAATCAATAAATATTTTTTATGAGAGGCATTCAATAAACCCTTTTGCTTTCGTAATCGGATTAAACTTACATAGAAAGATTTGGAATTTAGGCAATTCCTTGAATATATACATATATATGTATTGATGTAGTTATAATTTACAAACTAGTTTGCATTGATTTAACAAATGACGCAGATTAATTAAACCAACAAATATATATTTGGTACCGAGTAATTGCAGGGGCCTCTCTACACAGAGTTGGATTTCTTAGTTTTTGGTGTTGAAAGAATGATATTTCACTAATTGACCGGCGAATGATTTTGCTTGGCACCCACGAAACCTCTCAAGAAGGCCATTTAGCTACAGTTCTTGTTGAAGAAAAACATGTAATTGCATTGAATCTCTCTCTCTCTCTCTCTCTCTCTCTCTCTCTCTCTCTCTCTCTTTCTCTCTCTCTCTCTCTCTGATCAGAGGTTTCACATGGTTCTGTCTTTCAGCTACGAAAACTGGAAAATAAAAAAGGACTGTCGTGTGATGGCAAGCAACGAAAGCTGGACTGAATAGCATGATCATGAATCATGTTTTGGATATGAAACTGTGGCAGATCCAACAGCTTTCATTTGCACTTCACAAGGGTTTGTCTCCTCAATGAGGTTCCACGTGCCATCATTGCGCATAACAGACACTAACATATTCAGTTCTTTAAAATGGAAAATCTCTTTGGGAGATTATGTCGGGACCTCTATAGCTGTTAAGTCCCCTTCCATGACGATAATAACGAAGAACATATGACCGGCCCTTAGACAGATGGAGCTTGGAATTTTTTTTAAATGGGCATGTGGGTTTGTCTATGGAAACTTCTGCCAGTTTTTCTACATCAACATTATGAAAATTATAACCAGAGGGCCCATATTAGGCCGTGGAACCTGCAATTTGTTGGGCGAGGCTTAAACAACAGAGACGACGAAGTTCCAAGATTATGATTATTATCAATTAAATCTCAATCTCGTTTGGATTTCTGGTCTGCCTGTCAATCAACAAAGTGTAAAATTTTTACAAAAATGTGTGTTCTACCAAACTTTAAAAAAAAAAGGCTATCTCTTCATCGAGATTCAGCGAATCTGAGAAGTGATGGTGAAGAAGAGAGATTCGTCACAGGGTAAAGTCAAGCCGCCCATTGGATGGTCAAACCCGAACTCTTCCTCGGCTTTGTTCAGCAAGGCTTGAAACGCTGGCTCGTTCAAGTAAGAAACCGGCACCACATATCTCTTCTTCAGATTCTCCCCGACGTATACGGCCATGAACCCTTTTGGCGTCGACGATGGTTCGCTGACAGGCCGGCGTTTCGTCTGCTTAGCTGCCACTAAATTTCTCAAGAAGGCCATTCTGATTATCGCTTGTTGATTTGAGGTGTCTTTCTTTTGGGAGGAGAAGCTGTTGATATCTTGATATCGGTTTGGTTTGTGAGTCAAAATGGATATGGCATGTGTATATATATAGATGAAGATGGCAGAGAAAATTTCACAGAGAATTGTCAAGTTGTGGCCTACAAACACATGGTTTTGGCTTGGAGATACTAAACCGGAAGATCAGATAAGAGTCCATAGATTTGTAATGATGCTAGGCTGTTGAGTGGTATAGTGTCTGCCCTACATGAATGAATGACGATGAGACAGGAACTGAAACAAAGCTACAAACTTCTTTATGAGCTATGTCTGTAATCAGAGGCCAGTGGCATTAACAGCGCCAAATCTCTTCAACAACATGAAAGAAACAGGAACATGTGAATGGGCCCATAGACAGGACAGGAGGAAGAAGATGCTTTCCAAGTTTCTGTGGCAGATAGTTGATTTGGTTCACATACTCCCAACTCAAAGGCATAGCCATGTGTTTCTGTCTACAGAAAACTTTCAGGTAGAAGACCTATGTTCTGGTCGTGGTCCTGCAAATGTTACAGGACCTGAGGTCTCTATCAATAACCGAACCTCTTGATGGGAAGACATAATGAAAGACAAACCATGTGCTAAGCTTCTCTAGAATCGGAGGTGGCAACATCTTCAGATGCCATGTTATGTATAAATGCAAGTTCCGAAACTTTCAAGAAAGCAAGAGAAAGCTTCTCCTTCAGACATTTTCCCGAGAGAAAAAAAGATTGAACATTTCACATATCAAGGTCAAGCCTATGGCGATCCGCTTGCTGCGATCATCAAAGCAGTTTTTCCGTAAAGGAAAATGGTTTGTACCATCAAGCTCTGTCGATGTTCCAAAGGGGTACTTTCCCGTGTACGTTGGAGAAAGCCAGAGGAAGAGGTTTGTGGTTCCGATATCGTTCTTGAGTGAGCCTTCGTTTCAAGATTTGCTAAGAGAGGCCGAGGAAGAATTCGGGATCCATCATCCAATGGGTGGCCTCACAGTTCCCTGCAGCGAAGAAAACTTCATAGATCTCGCCTCTCGACTCAACAGTTCATGAGACAAAAAGACCAGCTCGTAGAACGCTTTCACAATCGCTTTTCTCTTCGAGCGAAGAGTTGGTAGCAAAAGCCTCTCCTCGAAAAAGATTAGATAGAGAAGTTAACCCAAATGATGTAATGAGTTTACTTCCTACATGTTTTCAGCGAGTTGTATGATTTAGGATCTTGTCTAACCGACAGTGATCTTGTATTCGGTACCTCAAAGATAATCTAACACGTTCAGATTGCAGCCCTCAATTATGAAAATGTTTTCTTTCTAAAACTTCATCTTTATTTCCAGCAAAAGGTTAAGCTGCAACAAGATCCCACACAGAGAAGAACCAAAAGTCTATACAGTATACATGGATATAGGCAGTAGGCACATTGCCCGGAAGGACGAGGTAATCCAACATTGACAGAAGCTAACCCTGAAGCTGGGAGCAGGGCATATGTAGTTGTAATTCTCCGACACAGTTCACTCATTCTGTGCTCTCTTTCTTAACACTGGATCCGGGCTTCCGTACAGGACTCGCCCATTTTTGGATCTCGATGCCCACATTGATCTGCAGGACCAGAGACCGGCATATACACGCCCTTTCGAGAACTTTTACAGTTGCATTAATCTGCAAAAAGAGAGAGACAAAAACAGATACATGAGTCCTGAACAATGTAAAAGAAGAAACTTTTAAGATTATTCATGACTTGCGAACGGTACAAAACCTGGCCCAAAACAAAGAACAGGTCAAACGAACGGAAGAAGGAAGTTCAATGATGACGACGCCTCATCTTCTGTTTGGTTCCCGAGAAAACTAAGAAGAAACCCTTTCCAAGAAAATGAGGGAAAAATGGGTCGACTCACATCCTTCCATTCGTCCACTCCACAAGCCAAACACAGACCGATGAGCTCGGATTTTTCCGATGAAATAAGGAAACGGGCACATGAGCATCCATCCGTTACGACGGCGGTCCCATCGCCGCCGGAGCGCACACATTCAGCTTCCGACCGTGAAAGAGAGAATTCTGTGGGGATTAAATAAAGGTCGGGCCTTGCAGAAAAAGATGCCAGACCCAAAAACTACCATCCAGGCCTATTTTGACCATTCGCGACAATTGGTAAACAAAGCTGAAAATCTTTGTTCTTTAGACAAGAAGAAGATTTCACGAAATTCTTGTTTTTGCCTATCGGACCACTTGACCTGTCCTGTAGGAGTTCAAGTTCGTTTTTGCATAATCGAGGAATAAGAGTCTGAGCGTAAACAGCTGAAAGAATTCAAGAGTTTTGATTATATATATGTTCAGAGTTGATTACAACAACAAAAAAACATCAACAAGTTAGGATCTTGGATCCCAAAACTCACTGAAACGTGAGCGAAAAACTGTTACAGTCAATCACCAAAAGGGTAGAACTCTCTGTCGGGAAAAGATTCTTTCTCGAAGGAAAAAAATGATTAGAAAAAAAGTAGAAAAAGAAAGAAAGAAAAGAAGCTATCAGAAGTTGAGGCGAGAGGCGAGATCCACGAAGATCTCTTCGCTGCATGGAATGGTGAGGCCACCCATTGAATGATCAAATCCAAACTCTTCCTCGGCTTTCCTCAACAGATCTTGAAACGAAGGTTGTCTCAAGAACGATAACGGAACGACGAATCTCTTCCTCTGTCTTTCTCCAACGTAAACAGCAAAGCATCCCTTCGGAACATCGACGGAGTTCGATGCTGAGAACGCTTTCGCTTGCCTCAGAACCTGCTTTGATGATTGCAGAACGCGAGGAAACCTGATTGCCATTGATCTTTTTTGCGTGCGTGTTTTTTTCTTACTGGACAAGATTTTCGAAGACAGACTTTTCTTGTTCTTGTGAAGGCTAAGGTTCGATAACATGTATTTATAGATTGTATGGTATTCTTGGCTTATTGAAATGTGGATAATATGCATCAGCACATGGCCTGTCCCTTCGGAACCAATGAGAGGCTTTGGCAGGTATAATACTATAATGAAAGCTGGAGTTGCGTGGAGGAGAATTTGCAGGACCACCGCCTAAACAGGGACCCCCTCCCATATTATCATATATTGATGACGAAGTGGGTGAAGCATCTGTAGACATATCCACATGGATATGTACATAAACTTTGTGTGAACCGGTTTAGTTTCAGCCACATAAGGTTGCCATGATTTGGTCCTGTCATGTGATCATAAGATCACGTTCTTGATATTGTCCAAAAGAAAAAGAACATTACGACAGTGGTGGAGATTTCGTGTCCTCTTGGTGATGAACTTCAGGTCCCCCCCCCCCCCGGCTT